CCAATTCAATCTCAAATCTTAATATGTAATTTCATAAAAAAAATTTAGATTAAACGTGCAGGTTATGATTGGTTTAAAAGGGATATAACCCATGCAAGTTTAAAGACCATGAGTTCCATAATGGCCATAATATCTCCCTCACAGGTACGGTTCCTTATGCAAGATAATGCTAGATTCTGACACAACCAAATGATTTAAAAGCTAATATTACAACTCACATCTAGTCCTTTACATCATGATATTTTTTTACTCATGCAAGACTACACAGAATGAATGTGAAGAAATATTGAGCGCATTTTTTTTATGTGGTGATGAATCCGATACATAATGAATATCAATATCACTTCAGCCAACGGAAATTTCGGGCAAGAGAATCAATTCATGGTTACGTTAAAATGCCATTAAAACAATTAGCTCTAGTTTTAGTTTTATATCTGTAATCGCGTAGTGGAAAAGGAGAGATCTAAGTCTTTCGGACTTGCAATCAGGAGCAACGTCCTGAGGCGGAACGAACAGGAAATGGGAGATAGAAGCTTTAGCTAGGGCAAGTCAGTGAGCTTCAGCTCATACAAGCGAGGTAAAGATGGAAGAGCCTCGGCCTTCAGGATCAGTCCAAGCGGAGGAGAGGTGAAGACTCCGGTCTTCTTCTAGGCTTCGCCGACGAGAAACTAAGAGAGAGGGAGGAAGAAAGGGGCTTCGGCTCTCTGGTTTGTGCGGACATGCAGTGAGAACCGGAGAGAGGGACAGAGGGAGGTCGCCGGCTAAGGGCGACGGTAGCAGATCTGCCGAGGAGAGTCGGCCTAGCTGGGGTCGCGCGAACAGAGAAGAGCGAGAGCAAGAGAAAGGAAGTGAGTCGTGTGAGAGAGAGAAGGCCAGAGCGCCGAATGCCCTGTCTAGGGCAAGCCGAACCAAGAAAAGGGCAGGGGAAATTTGCTTCTGCCGCTTGAGGACGTTCCTCTGGTTCCCTTAAGCGTAGAAATGAGGCCTGCTCACTCTGCTTGCTCCGACTTTTTTCCTGAACGCTTTTCTAAAGTGAGGCTTAATCTACGATCGAGGTGTCCAGCGACGGCAGGATCAAGACGAAAGAATTGCGGCCGTCGGATCGTTTCCTGATCTTGCTATTGCATTCAAATTAATTTAAAAGTGTCGATATAGCCTTAGTTAAGATTAGATTGAACCTATAAGCTAAAATTTGGTCCAAATCAAACCTAAGCTAACCTAATTTGGGCTTGAGCGGGTTCAAATCGAGAACAACTCGACTCGACTCGACCAAAATAATTCAATAAAAATCAAACTCAAATTAACGTCGATTTGAATTGAATCGAGCTCGACGAGGCTCGATCAACTCAATCGAAATGTGCTCGAGGGCTAATCAAGACAAAAACGAGGTCAACACCCATAAGCCATTTTGAAAAAACTGAGAAACTTTAATATTACTAATAGAATGCGTATTCAGCATAGTGTCAATAGAAGAAGACCCAAGCCAATTGTCTTGCCAGAATTAAATATCACCTTTTCCAAGACCCCATTGTATGAACTGTTCGGCCTCCCACTTAATATTGCAAAGCCTCTTCCAAATAAAAGAGTCAGTATTTCTATGAAAGCATAAAGAGGGATGATTATTAGGGCAGTACGTACTTAATATTCATGAAACGAGCCCAAAGACTGACGTTAGATCTAAAATTAAACCATAATTTAAAAGAAAAAGCTTTAGCCGAATCATTTAAAGATTTCCAACAAAGGCCACCTTCAGAAAGCACACCACAATTTTTATCCCAAGAGGACCAATGAATGCCTTTATTGTTAAAAGAGGAGCCCCAAAAAAACTTGTTTAAAATTCTCTCTAGTTTGGTACAGATGGAAGTAGAGGGCAATAAGGTATGAAAAAGATAAATAGGAATCGAATTTAAAACAGACTTTATCAGAGTGAGCCTACCACCATAGGATAAAAAATTAGAGGACCAATTGTTAATTAAAGCTTCTTCTCAATCTTAGTAAAAATATTATCAAAAAGAAAATTCCTTTTTTACCTTTATAGATGGGGGTGCCAAGATACGTAATGGGTAAAGCTTTAGGCATAAAACCACATAATCTTTGAATGCTTTGAATTCTGTTCTGATTGACAGAACTGCTAACAATAAAAGTGCTTAACAATTGTTAAGCTACACTATGAATGTATGTTTATATAGTATCGATATCTATATGTAGAGATTATAGATTCATAAAATACTAAAACTGTGTTAAAGTTTTTATGTTGGAATAATCTAGTGATCTGTATATCATTGTATCCCACATTTTATAGTCTTCTATACATGATTTTTTGTTAAATTTGATCATTTTTTGAAATCCAATTTACCTAGAATATCAATATCATATACCCAGCGATTCTCCAAAGTTGAGCACAAACAAAGCTGGTTAATTGAGAGTTTTATGGAATTTATTCACATGATGTAAATAATCATACAGGGGTATCAAAATCGGGTTGCGGGTTGGGTTTGGGTCAAACATGATGTTGACCTTCTACTGTTTGACATGACATGTTTTTGCAATGGGTCAGAAATTTTAACCTGGACCTGACCCACGTAGGTTACCAAGTTGACTTGACCCAATCAGCGAACCCATAACACAGCAGCTGCTAGCAAGTTCGGCTGACGTGGGAGCGGGAGCGAGCTTGTAGGGGGTACAGGCGAGTTCAGCTTGCGCGCGCGCAGTGCGGGCTGGTGCAGGTCTGGATGCTAAGTTTGGTGGTGAGCGCGATAGGTTCAGTGTAGTCTGGGGATGACGACTGTAGAGCGAGTGCAGATTACACTGTGGGCCGCCGATGGATGCGAGCAAGGGATCGCACTGCAATGTGGACGCAGATTGCGGGCAGATGCAAGCTAGCGAGGGATCATGATGAAGTGCGGCGGTGTCAGTGCTACCGTGTGGGGTTGCGAAGCAAGGGAACGTGCTGTGGTGCAGGTGGTTTCTTGGTCAACCCATGTTGATTTCGGGTCAACCTGAACACGATCTGGATTTTATAAAACTGGTCCGAAAAGGAAACTTGAAAATTGAACCTGTTTGGCTAACGATTGGCCTAAACTTGGAATTTTGGGGTCAGGTTCGAGATCTAGTTTTAGGTTAGGTTAATATAGACACCCATATATTATTTTCATATGCGATTTACTCCTATAGAGAAAATGTTGACTTTCATGATTAAAACTAAATCTTAATTGAAGTCATGTTTTCATATATATATATATATATATAATATATATATATATTATATATATATTATATATATTAATATATATATATTCAATATATATCATCTTTCTAAAAAATTCATCATAAAAAGAGGGTTCATATTTTTTTCATAAGATTGGTAAATAATATGATTATGATTTTGTTAATCCTTTAATACTTTTCTGGTACTTTATTTATAATTCTTCCAATCCCTTTTTTCTATATATATGCTCTTGGCTCAACGTTGAATTTCATTTTTTATTTTTCTTATCTAAACATTCCCCACAAACAAAACAAAAATTACAAATAAAAAACCAACACTCAAGCGAAATGAAAATATATTTATTGGCGTACAAGGTATAATTAATTATAAGATAGTGATATCGTTGCCAAGGGAAACGTTCATTCCTTCTTCATTGTTCCTCCTCTGCGCTTCAGAAAATTAATCAACCATACACTCTGCAAACCATAGATAGAGAAATTAAACCCTAAACAATTATACAGTACCAAAATATGGACAATAACAACTAACTTTAATGAAATTTTGTCAGAAAGAGAACAAGCAAAAGAGCCAAAATCTTACAGCTCATATTCCACTTTAACGCGACCAACATCTATGCTCGCTATGATATCAAAAGCTTCTTCCGAGAGAACAATGGAGTCATCGCAGCCCTTGCAAAGGTCCACAACTTCGACTGTTACTGAGGAGCTCTTACAGCTTTGACTATCACCACCATTAATACATCTTACTTTCAGCTTATGTCCACAAATCGCCTTATTATTCCAAATTGAATGTCCTACTGCAGCAATCAGTGTACCTTTGTCTTTGCTACCAAAGCATTCCGATTCTGCATGCAAATACATTCAAATAATATTTATATGTTTCAGATTTCATGAACAAAAAAAAAATAATAATAATAATAAGAACTCACGAGTATGAGAAAGATATCCGTAGGTAGCCTCCGTTTCAACTGCAAAGACCAGAGATAAAGAGCAAAGCATGGCCAGCACCGCCACAACTACAATGACATTATTGCGCTTCTGATCCATTAATCTCAGCTGCTGCTGAATCTCTTAGTGATCGATGCGAGGTGCTCACTGCTCAGAAGACTCGTCATGCTTATATAGCAGAAGGCCATATAAGTTCCAATTGTAATATTTGTTAAAATAATATATCTTCAAGAGGAAAAAAACATTAAGGTGACTGAGAAAAAGCGTACCCAGGCCTTTTCAAATTGGAAAGAGGTACGTAAGAAGGAACTATTGGTATGACATTTTCTTATGTAGCTCCAAAGAATGAACAATGAAAAAGATATCTTTTAGGTTTTAATCTGAAGATTTATTCAAAATTAGAGTCTATCATCGTAAAATTAGAATTTAAGTGGACTTTAGTGATGGAAAAAAGTTGTGTAATGATATCTTGATGTGTTTTATGATGAAGATTAATGTAAAAAAAAAAAATTAACGTGTCTCCATAATTTTGGAACTAAAAAAAAAAAAAAAAGAAGCCTCTTTGATGTATAAAATTGTTAATCATGCAAGAGGGTTAGTAGCAAAACTAAGTAGACACCATAGGAAAATGTTCGATTTACGACGGAAAAATACATTTTCGGAGGAAAATTTTTGGCTTTCTCCGCCAAAAAAATAAAGAAAAAAGCACAAAAAAAAAATCACTACCCGCCGCTCGACTCTGCCTGCTAAGCGCCTACTCGCAGATGCCCACTATGCTCCCGCCAGCCTGTGCCCACACCCGCCCACCCTGCCCACAGTGGCCCGCTACACGCCCGCCCATAGTGGCCCGAGTTGCCTTGCCCGCCAACCGTGCCCACACCCCGACGCTGCCTGCCCACATGACGCACATGTGATTTGAACTTTGCTCATCGGGAAGATCATTGCAAAGAAAAAATTGTTTTGTACTGCTTTCCTCGTTTGATTTCATTGAATAGATAGTATTGATTAGACCGCGTTGATTTGATTTGATAGCGATTGATTTGATGGATTGATTGAGTTCCTATTGTGAACGGATTTCTTCGAGATTGACATGGATTTATTGAGTTGATTTATCGATTCGCTTGCTGCTGCATTGACTGGTTTTATTGACTATGGATTTCTGTATTGCATAGACTCATTGACCATTGATTGATATGGATTTGATTGACTGGCATGCATATTGATAGCATAGTCGTGCTTTGATCTCAGTTATAGGAATTAGGTGATCTGCTGAGCTTTATAAAGCTCATTATATGTGGTTGATATTTTCAGGTCAGGGCAAGGGAGCAGAAGATAGGAATTGATCCAGATCTTCAGGTTTTTGTCTTTTGATGATTTTGATTCTTTTGCACTCAGGATAGATTTCAGTACTGGTGATTGTAATGTAGTTCCTGAGTATTGTACATGACTTTTGAGATATGAATCGACTTGTATATTGATGTCTTAAATTTTATAGATGTTTGATAGATTGTGAATTGAAAGTTTTAGATAACTCTGGTAAATTATTTGGTAAATTGTTTGGTAAATTGTTTGGGAAATTGATTGACATTCTTTCCAAGTTAAATCTTGGGGCGTGGCATTGACAAAAGCTCATCTTTTACTTCAAGCACAAATAATCGTTTCACTTTAATTTTGATGCTTGAGAGGTTTTTTTGGGCCAAAGTAATATGTGGTAGAGGTAACTGAAGATGATAATGGGAATGCAGGGTTGTTCATGGCATTGCAACCAAGGATTACAACATGTGGGAATAGAGTGACAACTTTCACTATGGGAGTGATATTACTTGTCGAGGCAAATTATTGCGTCCGGTCACCTGACATGTGGACATCCAATCCGGACACGCCACCTCATTTTTATTGGTGTCCGGACGAATCCGGCACCGGACACAATAATTTGCCCCTTCTCGGACCCACTATTATGTTAGCAACCTTCATAGTCGATGATCTTTGTGGGGTTCAACTTCTATATATAGAAGTTATAGCTGATTATTTTGTAATTATTAACATTTTAGGATTGAGATTTCAGAGATCATATTTTATGTTTTTTATTGATAAAATGTATTTTTAAAAGTATATGAATGAATATAATTTTCAATTTTTTCTAGTTGATCCTTATTTACTATATTGATGAATGAATATTTTTTTATTCAGTACTTGTTATTTTTGTTACCTTAATGTAATAAAATTAGTGTTTTTTTTATTTATTATGTATTTTATTTGTCTAATTAATGATAAGTAATTAGAAGTGATGATATCAAGGAGTGATTGATTGATATTAAATATTTTTGCTAAGGTATAATAATTGAATAAGTACTAAGTTTTACTAAATATGACTACAATTGATATCCATTAGTAATCACATTTCATGAATTAAAGGGGCACCTGATTTACCTGGTTGATCTTTTTGGCGGCAAACTTTTATTTCGGTCACTATTAAAAAATGTGATTAATAAAATTAATTATTAAAATAAATAAATATCATCCAAATAATTAATCATTAGTGTAAAAAAATGATCGCTAAACTAATTAATAGTAACTAATTTAGCAATCAAAAAAAGTTTTGGCCACTAAAAACCTCAGCGACGAGGCTACTGTGACAAACTAACGACCCAAAATTTTTTGGTTGTTCAGTTTAGCGATTAAATTATCTTTATTAGCGATCAATTTTGATGGTCGCTAATAGCCTTTTTTTTTCTTGTAGTGCCCTAGCTTTTTTTTTGGTTAAAACCCACAGAGGAGCCTACGCATTAATATCAAAAATACGGTTACAAAGTCCTTAGAAGGAACCTCCAGCTCTCTAATGCTTGACTGAGCTACACGCAAAAAAGAAAGAAAACCTACGAGCCGGTGGTTCCTTTTCCTAAAATTACAGGAATAACATAAAAACACGCTCGATCTGTGATCATAGAGCACCCAAAAAAGGAAGATCTTAAAGTTAACGTTCAGCACTATCTTCCTGCAAAAAATAAGAGGCACATATAATAGAAAATAAAAACAGCTAAAAAGAATTACCTTACACTCATTGAAGCACCCAAAATCTAAATATTTCCTGTAAGGGAATCTCCAAAAAACAATATTAGTCATAAAGCAAGTAAAAATGGAAATATTAAACTTGAACTTAAAGACCTTCTTGTAATATAATTGACTAAACAAACCCAGATTCCGACAGTGAACAAAACAGGAAGACTGAGAAATATCCAGCCTCACATCAACTAAAATATACCAATTGATACACCAGGAATTACTAAAAAAACTATACCACATCCAACGGTCATAGGTAACCCAAAAGATGCTCTTAACCAAGCCCCTAAGATGAAAACGAACAACATTGTAGAAACAGACCTGTAGGATAAGCAGAAATTTAAACCTCCAGCTCCCACAAAACTTCACCTGATAGGCCCAAGACATCAAATACTCTACAAAAGAAGCCTTAGCAACCAACATCACAAAAAAGCTAAAATTTCTGTACCTAAAAAACAAATTCCAGCCGGAGGCCAAAAAAGAGAACCAAATAGACCAGCACCCAGTAAAGGCAGAACAAAAAAAAATAATGAAAAAAATACGATCAAACAACACTAGAAACAGGGCAAGGCAGACAACAAAACCCAACAGCAAAAACATAAAATCAGTTCAATCTAATATAAGGAAGGCCCATTTTATCCAGATTCACCAAACCTTTAACAGAATGAGGCAAATTAATCAAATCAAACTCCCTTTCCTCCTCCATTCTGCTCCCCAGCTTAGCTAAACAGTCAGCACACGCATTCCCCTCTCTCAGCAAATGCTTAATCGTATAATTAATAGTAAATAGGGTCAAACGAATTTTTTTGATGATGTAAAAAAACTGAGGGTAATAAACATTAACATTGTTAATAATTTGAATAACATTTAAAGCATCCACCTCAATCTCAATATTAAAATAGCCTCTATTCTAACAAATGACAAGCCCTTTCAGTAAACCCATCAGCTCGGCAAATATGACCATACACAGAGATAAAGGGCCCGCATAAGCCATAATTACTTTACCAACAGAGTCACGGATGATACCCCCAAAACCAGCGAAAATTCTATCAACAGAACCATCCGTATTGAGCTTCATGGAGGGAGATTTCGGCTTTAACCATCTCACAACTCTCTCATTACTAAAAAAATCCTCACAATGAATAGGGATACCCAGCTTAACACACAAAGCCTTACAATGGGAAAATTTTTTTCTCGATATAAGCTTGACAGCAAAGAAATGGAGCAAATTATGATTGATATTGGAAATAATAACTTTATCTTCCATCTTAATTCCATCATGCTTAGCTTCATTATGAGCTTTCCAGAGAAACCACAAAATAAAGATAGGTAATAAATTAATAACATTACCTTCAACAGTGGACATCCAATCGGTTAAGTAAGACTGAACAATAATATCAGCACTAGAAGAGAAATATGGAACAGGCTAGGTTTATTCACCAGCCTAGCATAATACCTCCACACTTTTTGAGCAAAATCACCAAAGAGAAAGACATGATTGATACTTTCAATATCAGAACAACAATGACATCTAGAAGGCAAGAAAAAACCTTTATTCCAAAGCCTAACATCCACCGGTAAAAAACCTTTTATACACCTCCAAGCAAGAATGGAATAAGATAGAGGAATGTTATTGTGCCAAATATTAGCATAAATACTAGTAGAATCCTTTTTAATTCTAAACCATATCCCAAACCTTTTTAATGTTAAAAAGACCATTAGTAGAACAGTTAAATAAAATCCGGTCATCATCTAAAATATTTAAAGGAATGCTCAAAACTTGATTTAAAATAACATCAGGTAACAGATGTCTAAGCTTAATAACATTCCAATTACCATTGTCGATATAATAACTAACCTTGGTAGAAATGAGAGTATGAGAGGAAAGCATGCTGTCAATAGACCCAATACCTAACCGATTATCTTGCCAAAAATAAATATCCCCTTTACCCAAACCCCATTGGATAAAAGGCTCCGCAAAACAGCTAATTCTACTTAAACGTTTCCACACGGAAGAGTCAGAATTCTTAAACGTGTAA